AACTTTTTATATTACTGATGTTATTAAAATATCTCATATTACGAAACATTAACACACGACAGAAATATTTATTTCGTCAAAACATACGGCCTACAACCAGGAGCTGAGCGTTCATGTTAAACGTGTTAACCCGGCTAACACTTTTAAAACGTAAAATAAAAAGGATTACACATAGGATATTACATTTGAGTTTATATGGATTATACACCTGAAGATGGTTCATTTAGAACTGAAACATGTAGTGTAAAAGATGATGCTCTAATGTAAATCGAACATTTCGATAGAGAGCATCATTTTAATATATTTTAAATATTTAAATGTAATTGTAATATTTTAATATTTAATAATAATATTTTATTGTGATTAGACTGATAAAATTGAACAAGTAAAATAAAAAGTATTTTATTTTACTTAATTTTTCTTGTACCAACGTTTCGGGAGAATGTACTGCCTCCATCCTCATGACTAAGCCAGAAGAACAACATCGATATCTTCGTCGCCGTGAGAACCTCAGATCTCTTCAAGTATCTCGTTCATGTTTCTATCTGCCTAATAACGTATGATGGATTTTCATGAAACTTGGTATGTGCATAGAACCACAACATGCCTTTATAACGTTCGAACTGGAACCGATACTAGCGAATTAGGATCCCGAAAATGTGACAAGAAAGCTTTCAAATTATATAACAATTATTAGTGTGTTTTATAGCTCAAAACAACAAGGAAGCCGTAAGGAAACTACACTTAGCTACTATCAGCTTTTGAGTTGATAGTGTGTAATGAACAATAACAACTAGATATGTGATGTTTTGTATGGAAATAATAATAGCACCGATGAATTATATACGAAATACCACACTATTTACGTGTAAACATTATGCATACATTCCCGTGAGAAAAGGAAACATGTGGCAAGTCAAACACGGTCGGTGCATGTGTCGGTATTAATGGAAACCATGCAGAGACATTCATATTAAGTGGCTCAATTATTAATTTATAGCACATGCTAGCCTGACCATATCGACTGAAACATCTGGATACGTGTGGAAGTAGTAAGTTCTACTCAGAAATTCTTGTAATATATTTTCATAGTTGTGTTACGCAATACTTTAACCCAAGGAAATTTGAAGTACGGTTCAATTTTATTATATAACAATATATTACGTAAATAAAGTTATCCCACGCCACTAATTGGCGTTCAATTCGGTCAACTCTTCAAATCGATATGATGTAACACTGTAAGAACGGACTGTAAAGATCGAACGTCGATAAAAATGCAAGCGTAAATAAAATTCCACTTCTATTTAGTGCTCAATGAAAACATTAATGGTAAAAATATTCATATCACTATGACAAGTTCGTATTACAATGAAACTAAAACAAAGGAAAACCTTACTTCAGATAAAAAGCTGTTTCTAATCGCCAAGACATAGAAGTAAACAAAGAAGACTTAAATTCAAACATTATCAGCATGATTATTCTACGAGAAAGATAAACATTAAGTATAAATGTATCTGGATGTACGAGTCTATACAAAAATATAAACATTAAGTAAAAATGTATCTGGATGTACGAGTCTATACAAGTGGAAATATTTAGGAACTGAAACACGGAGGAACGTCAAAATAATTTTCTCTGCAAAAGGCTTATTTTTCTATTTAGCAAATACATATTTATTACCTTACTTAAACAGTTGTTTTTAATTCTGTATAACCAGAAAAAGAATCCATTTCGAAGTCCTGGACGTAGATTGGAAGATAATATTAAACGGAACTTAAAAAATGTGGTGCACGTTAGATTCAGCTGGATCAGGACAGAGACCAGTGAACACGGTAATGAGCTAACGGGTTACACGGAATCCGGGAAGTTTCTTGATCAGCCGAGCGATGATCACCGTCTAAAGATCGATTCAGCTCACTGAATTTGGTTGACTTGTTAAGAAAAGTAATCTTATCTCTCGTCTCTCTTGTGACTGGCAAATTGTGATGTCTAATAATAATAAAACATGACGCAAAGCGATACACTAGAAATTCACAAATATCATCATTACGGTATTAAAATTAAACGTCTTTAATGTCGGTTTGAACTTTGTTTTAGAGCACTGATAAGACACAGGATCTAATGCAAACAATGTAACAATTCTCGTCCCAGGTGGAAAGATTATAAATATTATGTACAAAAAGATATTACACAATAAATTTTATAAGTCATGAATAAAAATTAATAAGTTATCATCCCTAGTAGAGAAAATTCACTTGTCAACGTGAATAGGGTTTATTATTCGTAAGATTGTCATAAAATAAACAATTTTGTCATACAAGCACAGTGAACTGAAAGATAAACTAGGGCGAATGACGAGAACTTCAGCTAGCCTAAATATATATATATATATCCGATTCTTCACCGAGCGAATGTTTTTTTCGAAACGTGAACTTTTGTTTCTATTTCCCTCGCACAGCTGGGACGGTTCAACGCGTATGATTCACATATCCAACTAATGACGATGTTAGAAAAGACGGACTATCAGTAGAATGACTGACGTGTTCTTTGAAGAAAACAGTGAGGGGGTTTCGCTGATTAAAAAGATAAGAACTCGTTGCTAACATGAAAAGCTACGTCGACAAAGTACAGAGACTTCAAATAAACATCTGAACGAGGAAGGAATATAAGCTATGAAAAATGTGAATCGCCGATCGTAAAAGGCAGTTCAAAACTTCATTTCCTCTGTGACAGGGGTTCTGTCGCCTGTAAAGAGTGTGGGGCATGAGCGCAAGGGTTGCGAGCTTGGTGGACAAAAAATGCGATTTTTTTATGAAACTGTGGCCAACGGCCGAACAGACTGGGGTGGAGATACATGAGCAATCCGGAATCCAAATACTCCATTTTGTTCCTTTTCAATCAATTTCTCAAAATTAATACCCAGCCTTCTATCCAAGGAGGTATTACTTTTGGCAGCAACCCAGAAGACAGCCAACTTCAAAGGGATAATTAATTATAAAACAACATTAGTATCTTTCTGACAAATTGGTGATATGTTCTAAGAAAGAAAATATAGGTTGTCATAATCCGGGAAAGTTCAAGATATACAGCGTAAAATGTTTCATAAATATCATCAATAATGTTATGTAAATATCGATTTGGAAGTCTTTGTCAAGGCCTATTTTGCATGCCATTACCCGACAGAGATTAGAGATGGGGTTCTTTATCTAAAACACAGTTCTAGAGGGTTACCTCTATGTCAGTCTGCTGGGTTTAACTTGTTTTAAAATAAGGCTGCATTTACATCTCATACACTGGTTTTATAATAGAGCGCACAGGAGATTATGGGTCCAAACATCCACCCCGAAAAAATACAAAACAATGTTAACATTTGGTGGTCTAATGTAAATCGAATATTTCGATAAAGAACATCATTTAATATTTTAAATATTTTAAATGTTAATTATTGTAATATTTTAATATTTAATAAGAATTTATTGTGATTAGACGGACAAGATTTAAACAATATATATTTATTATATCACAATATGACGCAACTTTACCATCTCACAAAACAATGTATTGAAATATTATTCTAATTTATTAATAGGAGGAAACTGAATGACAAAAGGTGGCTTTACTGAAACAGTAAAACGTGCTATGGTTTTGTACGCAGGCCTGTAATTAACTCCATGATTGTTTTTTTTATTCTCCTTCAATTATCCATTTAAGATTACCCTTCAAAAAATAAATTTATATAGGCATTACCATATGACTTACCCTTAAAGTTTATTTGGTGTGAATGTTCTTATACGTTGTTGGAAAAATGCATAATTGGCAATCGATAAAAAATATATTCGGTAAACACCTCTGTAAATGTAAAATATATTTACTTAAATTTCACAGAATAGTTAATAAATAAAAAGACACAAACACTCAGTTGATTCGAAACCCAAGCAGTTCTGGACAATTTAATGTTCCTTCAGTACTGTCCGCTTGTTCACTCCAAACTGAATTATCTAAATAGACGTGAAGTGGATGTCACGTTACGTCATAATATTGAATGCACTAAAGCTACTTGTTTCAGTTCAATGTCATTAACTTTTATCGCTGAACACAGAAACCCAAGGAAACTTGTATCGATTTCCATTACCTAGGAAACTGAAATCGGTGTAAGATAAGATATGCTTTGAAACATCACGATCCTATATAAACATAAAGCACCTTGCTATCATACACTCAGCATCAAGAATGGACCTTTGCCTAATTAGCTGTTCTAACGCCAACATCCTCAAAAAGCAAAATTCTCTCGTCCAAAACAATACATAAGACTAAATGTACTGGGTTACTGACTGTCAAAATATATGACACGTGTAGTTTTCATTAATATTTAACGGGTTAACTGGTTTTGTTCGGCGCATTTGTCATGTCACCATGACACCAGACTACAAGACACCCTCGCATATTTGCCTGCCGGATTAGCTTTATCGCTTAGGGATTACCAGGTAGGACTGCCCACTTATGTCAGGTGGGCAACAGAACACGTCGGTTTCAAGGACTTAAAAATAACAGTTCGCCTGTAAAGTTTGTTTTATAATTAAAATCATCAACAATTTAAACACGTAAGTACGCAA